TTTTGTGGGGCAGAGGATATTGAGGGGGGGTTAAAGGCAGTTGGGGGGGGTCAAAGTTCATATGTGTAATTTCCCCCAGGCTTCCGTCTGCCCCCCCCACTTTGGGGTGTCCTGGGCCGTCGCTACGGCGACGAGGGGGGGAACCTCGATTTCGACAACTTCATCAGCTGCCTTGTGCGCCTCGACGCCATGTTCCGTAAGGGGGGCCCCCCAAATTTTGGAGGGGGTGGGGGCGTGTTGGCCATGGGAAGGGGGAACCCCAAGGAGGGGGGATCCCAGGAGCTGGGGGGGAGCACCGCAGGACTGAGCAATGCCCAGGGCTGGGGGCACCCCCAGAGTTATTGGGGTTCTCTGGGTGTTATTGGGGTGTTGGGGGGGGGGTCCCCTTGCAAGGGGGGGGCAGGGTGATGATCCTGGTTTTTGGGGCCCACCCCCCGGTTTTGGCCCCCCCCCCAGGTGCCTTCAAGTCGCTGGACCGGGATGGGAGCGGGCAGATCCGCGTCAGCCTCCAGGAGGTGGGTTTGGGGGTGCCCCCCCATGGGATGATTTGTGGGGTCCCATCGGTCCCTTTTTTGGGGTGTCCCCAGACTGGGGGGTGTTCCACAGGAGGGGGTGGAAGGAGGTGGTCCCCCAAAACTGCCCTGGGTCTGCCCAGCCAGGCCCTATATCACTATAGAGCACCCCAAATCCTTATAGAGCACCCCAAATTTTTAATGGGGCACCCCAGTCCCTATAGAGCACCCCCAGATCCTCACAGAGCCCCCCGCACATCCCCAGGAAGTCACCCCCCAATATCTATAGGTAACCCCCCAATCCCTATAGGGACTTTTAGGACACCCCCCCCCCCCAATCCCTGTAAGACTCTCCAAATCCCCATAGGAAGCCTGTGATCCCTATAGGGGATCCCCAACTCCCCGTAAAGCACCGCAGGTCCCTATAGAGCAGCAATGGCCCTGCCCAGACCCCCCCCAATCCCTACAGAGCCCCCTCAAATCCATATAGGGTGGCCCTGATTCCTAGGGGGGGGGACAGCCCCCCCAGTCCCTTTAGAGTGACCCCAGTTCTATAGGAGACTCCTTTGGGCGGGTCCTGATCCCTATAGGGATACACTAAATCCCCCTGGGGTGGCCCCCAACCCTTCTGGGCCCTCTAGCTGCTATAGGGCCCCTATAGCCCTTATAGGACCCGTATGGCTCCCTGTAGTCTTTATGGCCCCCTATGGCCCCCTACTGCCCCCGTAGGGCTCCTATAGCCCCCGGTGACCTGGCACCTTCTCTCCGCAGTGGCTGCAGCTCACCATGTACTCCTGAGGCACCTGCGCTTGGGGGGGGGCACCTGGCGCCCCCCACACCTCCCCACATCCGCACCCCCACATTCACACACACATCCCGCACCCCGCTGCTAACCTCCCCCCGCCGCCGACTGTGCCATGGGGGGCCCAGGCCCCTTCCCAGTAAAGATCACCCAGTCCCACCCAGCTCCTTTGTCTTTTTTTTTTGGGGGGGGGAGGTATAGAGCTATAGGGGGGGTGCTATAGGGG